TTGGAACACAGCCAGGTGTCTTCAAGTGTAGTGTGCCAGCAGAATGCTGGTGCTCTAGTTAAAGGTTGAAAATAGATGTTTTTTGTTCTTAAAGGTTGGGTTTTTTGTTTTGTTTTTGTTTTTGTTTTTGTTTTTGTTTTTGTTTTTACAACTTGGAGAACCTGCTATTCACTAGCTGTGTGAACCTGGGCAAGTTGGTTAAAATTCCCACACCTCAATTTCCTTATCCTTGAAATGGGAATGAATACAAATACAAGATTCCCCTGCCATCCAAAAGTTTGGTTTATGAAACTTCAGTTTTACGAAAGACCTACATTAGTATTTGTTTTCACTAACCAAAAGAAATCTAAAGAGGATCTTCGGTTTGAAAATGGTAGTCACTTCTTTGTTTTGCACCATTTCAATTTACAAAAGGTTTCGTAGGAACCATCTACTTTCAGAGAGCAAGGGAAACCTGTAGTTCCTATCTCTGTGGGCTTTTAGAAGCATGAAATGAGGACTTACATGTAGCCATATAAAGTAGTGGTTAAGATTGTGGACTTGTGGGGTCCCTGGCTGGCTTAGCGAGAAGAGCATGCGACCCTCCATCTCTGAGTTCGAGCTCCACGGTGGGTGTACAGATTACTTAAATAAATAAGTAAACTTAAAAAAAAAGTGTGGACTCAGGTCAGATTGCCTGGTTTGAATCCTAGAACGACCATTTACTACTTGTATGTTGGAGATGCAAAGTCTACCTCATAGAGTGATGAGAGAAGTGAGAGTCCACACTCTGAACCAGTTCTCAAGAAGCATTTGAGCGGAGTCCAAAAGGGGTAAGGCCCATACCTTGACATAAGAGTTGTATATGAAAAAACTATAGCCAACATCATACTCAGTGGTGAAAAGCCAAGAGCTTTCACCCTAAGGTCAGTTATGAGACAAGGATGTCCACTCTCACCACTTTTTTTCCTTAAGATTTTATTTATTTAGGGGTGCCTGGGTGGCTTAGTGGGTTAAGCCTCTGCCTTTGGCTCAGGTCATGATCCCAGGGTCCTGGGATCAAGGCCAGCATTGGGCTCTCTGCTCAGCGGGGAGCCTGCTCCCGCCCCCCACCTGCCTCTCTGCCTACTTGTAATCTCTCTCTCTCTCTGTCCAATAAATAAATAAAATCCTTTTTTAAAATTATTTATTTATTTGAGGGAACATGTGTGGAGGGAGAGCGAGAAGCAGGATCCCTGCTGAGCAGGGAGCCTGACATGGGGCTCGATCTCAGGACCCGGAGACTATAACCTGAGCCGAAGGCAGACACTTAACCGACTGAGCTGCCCAGGCACCCCTCTCTCTTACCACTTTTTTTTTTTCATTTGTGTAAGTAATGTCTGCAAATGACCTATCTGATAAAGGGTTAGTATCCAAAATATATAAAGGACTGATACAGCTCAACACCCAAAAAACAAATAACCTAATTAAAAAATGAGCAGAAGGCAAGTCTCCAAAGAAGACATACACATGGCCAATAAGACACATGAAAAGAGGCTCAACATCACTCATCATTAAGGAATTGCAAATCAAAGCACAATGAGATACAACCTCATATTTGTCAGAATGGCTAGAAGCAAAAACCCAAGAAAAAAGGGTTAGCAAGGATGTGGAGGAAAAGGAAACTTCTTGCACTGTTGGTGGGAATGCAAACTGGTGCAGCCACTGTGGAAAATGGTGAGGAGGTTTCTCAAAAAGAAAATAGAACAACCCTACAATCCAGTAATCACACACCTGGGTGTTTACCCCCAAAATACAAAAACACTAATTCAAAGGGCTACATGCCCCCTGTGTTTGTTGCACCTGGGTGGCACAGTTGGTTAAGCATCTAACTCTTGGTTTCAGCTCAGGTCATGATCGCAGGTCATGATCTCCTGGGATTAAGCCCCATGTTGGGCTCCACAGTCAGTGGGGAATCTGCTTGAGATTCTCTCCCACTTCCACCCCTCCTGCTTATGCTCTCTTTCTCTCTCTCAAATATATAAAATCTTAAAAAAAAAAACCATAACAACCAAACTATGGAAGCAGCCCACGTGTCCATTGATAGATGAATGGATAAAGAAGATGTGGTAGGTATGTGTGTGTGTTTGTGTGTGTGTGCGCGTACATATACATATACTTGTGTGTATACATATATATGTTTATATATATATAAAGAGAGACTGTATTCAGTGTACCATTTATTGTTGCTTTGTAACAAACCACCTCAAACTTAATCAAGCAAAATAATCATTGTATTATGCTCGCAGATTTGTGGGTCGGGGATTCAAAAAGAGTACAGTGGAGATGGCCCCATGGCATCTGAGACCTCTGCTGGAAAGACCCACATGGTGGAGACGGCTCAATGTCTGGGGTTGAAACCAACTGCAAGTGTCTTTGGTGGTGTTCCTAGGAATTGACTTTGATCTCAGCTGGGTTGTTGCCTGGAACATCCACACATGTTCTCTCCATGTGGTTTGGGTTTCCTCACAGCATGGTTGCTGGGTTCTAAGACCAAGTGTTCCCAGAAAACCAGGCAGGAGCTATATTGCCATTTATAACCTAGCCTCAGAAGGCACACAATGACATTTATACCAAAGTCAGTCAGCCATGATTCAAATGGGGGAACATACACCCCATCTCTTAATAGGAGGAATGTTACGGTCACATTGTAAGAAGAACATGTAAGATGGGAGATATTATCGTCGCCATCTTTGGAAAATAAAATCTGTCACACCCAGGCACCTGAGCACCACTAGAAAAAAGATGTAACACGGAAAAATTAATCAAACCTCAGTTGGATCCTTGACACCACCTGACAATTCTACATCATTTCTCTGTTCAACTTGCTTCAATTTGCAATGGATATTTCAAATATCTTCTGTCATAGGTCTATGTAGATAGTAGTAGACTATTTAGGTCTCACCTAACACATGTTCCAAAAACCTTTTTCTCCTGTCCATGTCCTTTAAGGAGGTGAGAGACGCTAAACACCTACTTTCCTGGGGCGCCTGGGTGGCTCAGTGGGTTAAAGCCTCTGCCTTCGGCCCAGGTCGTGTTCTCAGGGTCCTGGGATCAAGCCCCGCATCGGGCTGTCTGCTCGGCAGGGAGCCTGTTTCCTCCTCTCTCTCTCTCTGCCTGACTCTCCGTCTACTTGTGATATCTCTCTCTGTCAAATAAATAAATAAAATCTTTAAAAAAACAAAAAAACACCTACTTTCCTACTCTTGCTTGCATCTGTGTGGCATAATGGTGGCCATTGAGGTGTAGCAGAAACTTGCCGCAGGACTTCTGGCCAAGTTCTTGCCTTAAACAAGAAAATGCTGCATGGAGTGGAGGCAGCCAGCCATATCATGACCCTCCAGGAAAGGCCAAAATATTTACAGAAATAGAGGCCCCAATATTACTGAGTCACTGAACAGATGCAGTTTTCTACCTCCTGGCTTCCTATCCTGTGAGAAAAATAAACCTTTATTTGCTTAAATCAGTGATAGGCGTTCTGCAGCTGATACAACCACTCTTCTCCACCCCCTGCCCCTGCAGTTTTTCTCTTTATTCTCCACAGATGAACTTCCATCCTTCACAGAGGGAAGCTTCCGATGGTCATTGACTTTCTTGCCACCAAACCTATCTACTTAACCTGCATCCACAGCCATCCTGTTTCTATCTTCCCTCCTGTTACAACAGAAGAGGGGTCCCTACTCCACAGATGGGGAATTGGGCCGTGTTAAGTAGGGAGATGCCACTGTTGGATTGGTTTTTGTGACCTTATCCTCATGTTCTGGGCCTCTATCCAGTCATCAGCCATGTGGCCATCAACAGGCCATTAAAGTAGCAAATACTTTATCGAGTAGATTCTGAGCTGTGCCCAGTAAAGGCTCTGCAGTAGGCGCTGGGGGCGATGCTAGGTGTAGGAAGGAGACAGTCCCGAGTAGAGAGAAAACTTTGCCAGACAGGGGAATGGAGCCTTGGACGAACCAAAGGTCCCGGTGTGGCTGGGTGGGCAGAGTGCAGGAAGGACTCAGGAGGCAGATCTGGAGAAGGCAGGGGCCAGAGTAAGCTCGGTTTTGTACACTAGACAGGGTCATGATTTCGGTTTTAACTCTAAATCATTGGGACAGGAAGTGAATAATCTTTCTTTCTTTCTTTCTTTCTTTCTTTCTTTCTTTCTTTCTTTCTTT